TATGGCAGTACTGGAGTTTGAACCCCGTGCCTCTCATTTGCTAGGCAGGCCCTCTTACCATTTGAGCCACGCCCTAGTACTTTTTTTTTTGCTTTAGCTATTTTTCATGTAGGTTCTCACATTTTTTCCTGCTGGGGCTGGCCTCAGAGCATGATCCTCCTATGTACTGCCTTTGTTGCTGGGATCATAGGCATATACTACCATTTTCCACTATTGATTAAGATGCTGTCTCATTAACTTTTTTTTTTTTTATGGGACTAGGGTTTGAACTCAAGAGCTTTGAGCTTGCAAAGCAGCCACTCTACCGCTTGAGCCACACCTCCAGTCCATTTTGTCCGGTTATTTTGGAGATGGGGTTTCTTGAACTATTTGCCCAATCTGGCCTTGATTGAGATTCTCCCAGTCTCAATCAAGTAGCTAGGACTACAGGCATGAGACACTTACGCCCAACCTCATTAACTTTTTGCCCAGGCTGGCCTTGATCCTTGATCCTCTTGCCTCAGGCTCACAATTATAGGTGTGTGCCACCATGCCCTGCTTACCACACTTTAAATTACTGTTAACTTTGTAATTTGTTTTAAATAAGGAAGTGTAAGTCTCCAACTTCGTTCTTGTTTTTCAAGATTGGCTATTCAGGGTCCTTTGAAATTCCACAAGACTTTAGGATGGACTTACCTATTTTGGCAAAAAAACTCCCTTGGGATTTTTTTATAGGGATTGCCTTAAATCCATACATATCCATACATCTGGGCAGTACTGACAGTCTTAACAGAATTAAGTCTTTCATTCCATTTCATTTACCAATGTGACCCTTAATTTTCTATTCTTATGATCAACTAAAGGTGTAATCTGCAGAGGCCCCAGTCATGGCCCACCCTCCTGAATAAGAATTCTAGCGGTGGCTACATTGTAGGGCCCAGAGCTGTGACTGGAAGGGTCCCCAAGCAAGAGGGGTTGTTTGGCTTCTCTGTGGAGGTGTGCAGGGCAAAAATCCCAGGGTAGGAGAACCTGAGTAGCTATGAATGGTTCCCTCTGCAGGTTTCTGTAGGGTCATGATGCTTGGTGTTTTAGGACCCCTGTCTTTCACTCCTTCACTTGCAAATCCTTTGATAGGCAAAACTCTAGGCAGTGGTCAGTGGCCCCTCTGATGGTCCTACAACCTCCTTCCCACAGCTGGGCAGAACTGAGGAGGGTAGGAGGCCACACAATTAGGGGACAAGGCCTTCAGGAGGCAGTGGGTACAGTGATCCCCAGTTGTCTGGTGGCCTGTAGCAGGCAGTCCCTCCACTCTAGGACTCAGTCCCAGGTGTCTGGAAAGTTGAGGTGGTATGTGAAGCTCTTAGTCCCAAACACGGCCTAGTGGGGCAAGGCATGTAGGAATCCTCTTTTGACAAAGAATGCTCCACTGGGGACACTGCGGTGAGCCTTGAGCACTTCCCCTGAATCCCCCATGCCTCCCTTGTGAAGCAGGTGTGGAGGCCAGTGGGACTGCTCAGCACCAGGGAGCCCCACTGCAGCCTGTTTGGAGATGCCAGGTCTGTCCTAGCATTCTGTCCCCTCCTAACAATAAAGGAAAGGCATTGGGCTGTCCCCAGTCCACAGGTATGGCTCCTCTCTCAGACTTCCTCCCCTCTACTCCCTTCCACCAGGCTCTCAGGGACTTCATCCCTGTTCTAATCAACAGTTAGACCTGGAGATTAGAGATTTTAACATCAAATTCTTCCACAACTCAAGTGTTACAGGGATTGAATTTTACAGTTAAGGGCTCTAGGTTCACCAAGTAATTTGCCATTTATACATAATATCCCTTTTACCTTGGATATTTATTTCTATTGATTTTTTTTGATGATACTAGGGCTTGAACTCAGGGCCTAAACCTTGAGCCACTCTACCATCCCCTTTTTGTGTGTGTGTTTGATGGGTTGTGTTGAGATAGGGTCTCATGAGCTATTTGCCTGGGGTGGCTTTGAACCATGATCCTTCTAATCTCTGCCTCCTGAGTAGCTAGGATTACAGACATGAGCCACTGCACCCGGCTTTATTTCTGACTTTTAGTAGTTTTTGTGTTTGTTTTTTGCACTGCTAGGGATTGAATTCAGCCTTTCACATACCATGCAGTGCTCTACCACTGACCTTCATCCCAAGCTGGTTTTTTGTTGTTTGTTTGTTTGGTTTTTGGTGGTACTGGGGCTTGAACTTAGGGCCTCATGCTTGCTAGGCAGGCACTCTACCACTTGAGCCATTCCACCAGCCCTGTTTGTTTTTAATACAACAAATAAAACAAAATGGCCCATCATCTCACCACTCCTGATAAAATTATGGATAACAGGTAGATAATAATAAAAGCAGCAAGGCCATGTGTCAGAAAATCTCAGCCATAAACAAAGGAGCAAAATAGAAAGCTCCAGCCACTTCACAACCTATGCTACCTTTTCCTGTTACTTCCTGTCATTTTCCTCTCAGGAAAGAGACTGTCATCACCATCGTGTCATCTCCTCATGTGCCATTGGTCATGGCACCTCAAGAGATGTGTCCTGCAAGAGATGTGGAGGTCCTCCCACCACTTTGCAGGCTCTGGAGCTTCTGGCATCAGGATTGTTTAGTGTTTTTTTTTTTTTTAATTTTATTGTTTTATTATTCATATGTGCATACTGTTCAGTGTTCTATGACATGACTCTGGGCCTTCTAGAAAGATGGCATGACTCACAGTCCTGAAGGTGTGAGCAAGACCCAGGACCTCCCCAGGGACACCTCAGTTGGGCTTCAAGACCTTCCCCCAGTTTCCCATACCCATGCCAGGCTTTTGGTTTTAGCCTTTTCCTATAAGCTGCACAGGGGCCATGTTGACTCATTGATCTCTTAGTAATTACTATCCTATTGACTTTCATGTTCCTTGTAACTAGCCATTGCTCTAATACGTCATTTCCAAGTTCATCAGTGGCTTCCTGCTCCCAAGGTGACAACTGTAACCCACAGGGCAGCACAGACAAGGACCAGTGAGGCTATCCTCTGTGTCCTTGGTTTGGCGACACTCTGCTTGACATCCCATTACCTCTCTGAGACTGGAAAGATGAATCACTGCCTTTGCCCTGCCTGGGAAGGCCCTGGCAAGGCTGGTCTGTGGGGAAGGGGTTCAGATAGCTGGACCTTAGTCATTTTCAGGTTCCAGTTTCTGTTAATAATAACTTCTGGGTTATTGTTTCTGTTAATGATTAATCAAAGGCAAAATTGAACACACAATTATATTTACTTAAATGTTCAGCTTAGAGACATAGCGTCTAGCCCCTTCCTAGAGCTGACTCAGAGAGGCCAGGAGCTGGGTTCAGAAGGAGCTGTGACGATGGAAACCTGTAGGCAAAGCAGGAGAGCATGTGGTCAGCATGTGCCCACTGTACTTTGTGTAAATGGACCTCACAGCCTGAGGCTACTGAGTCTGGGTTCCCATACTGCACCCCACTGGAGTCTCAGCTTTTTTGTTTATCTTCTTCTCTGTTTCTGAATCCCCTACCCAAATTGGGTCCTGGGATGTGGAATCCTAAGGCTATCCTCAGGTCATCTCCCACCAAGGCCCTAGGCTGCCTCCTCTCCTCCAAATATGCCCTTCCAAACAGAAGCTTCTGGGGCATAGCAGAATCTTGCGTAGTCATCAGGAGTCCAAGGCCCCGCCCCATAAGGAACTGTGAGTGATCACAGGGTCCCTGATAGAAGCTCTGCAAGTTCCTCTTTCTGTGTCCCTTTCCATTTTAGGTTCTCTGGCCTGAAATCACGGGCTTCTGTTCTGAACTTTGTGAACTCTGGTCTGTGTCAGCTGGTGGCCCTGGCTGAACTTCTGTCTATGCATGCAGTGCTAGGGAGGAAACCCAGGGCCTTGCAATGACAGGCAAGCACCATACCATTGAGCCACATCCTCCATTGTGTATGGTTTTAGAGGATTTGTGGGCAAAGCTGTCACCTACCAGAATCAGAGGAGACCTCCATGATACAGTCTGGTGTGGGGGAAAGAGAGATCCATGTACCCTCCATTAGTTCCTCTGTGTGGTTCTTCAGCTGAGTCTAGGAAGTTAATCCAAGACTGAATAACAACATTACCCATATTTGGAGATTTCCACGTGACAGTTAAGTCCAAAGAAATGACCAAAGCATAATGCTTTCATACTTTCTGAGACAAAGAATGATAACTTTGTTAGGAATGCCAAGACAAATGGGTCTCTGAACCAGAACAGTGAATTCTAGGGATGTCACTTGGAGGTATATGGGGCAGAGGGATGAAGTTAGTGGAAGGTGTTACTCCAGTGACTTCATTCAGGTTCATCATAGCCTCAATTATCAGTCTCTGGTGATTGAGACTTTTATTTGGGGGGAGGGCCTTGGTGCTGGGAGGCCACCCCTCCCACAAAAAAAGACAGACTGACTGCATGGCCCTTTCTGGCTGACAGGTCGTCTTTGACCTTGAAATAATCACTTTGCCAATTCAGGATATTCTGAGATGACCCACGCTTAACTCCTTCCTTAGGAAAGCACCCAGGCAAAGAGTTGCGTTCAGGCAGGAGCAGCAGAAGTGTGAACATTCCTGCCTTGGCCCAATGTGGGTACTGGTGGGGACAGGGAGGCCAGTTTCCCCGCTCTGACCCAATCAGACAGCTGAGGCACTCAGCTGGGTTCTCTGAACCCAGCCGAACCTTTATCAGCACAGGGGGCAGCGGTGCATTCCAGTCTAAGGGCAGGGTGGGTGAAGTAGGAAGTACCTCTCCCTTGAGGCCCTCCCCCTTCCACCTTAGGGTGACCCTATTTGCCTCGCCAGCTTCCTTCCAAGCTTGTACCCTCCACACTCTGACCCCCCCTCCACGGGTGGAGATAGTGGGCACCTCAGACTATGTAAGCTTTCCTCTGCTCCTCCTGGAGAGCAGCCTGGACATTTTATCCCCAGTGCCTCTGTGAACTCCTTTTGTTTACCCGCCCCACTTCATTGCCCCGCTTCTCTGCTCCACCCCGCCCTACAGATGCTGGGAGCCCCGCCCCTGCTGTTGGCAGCAATCTTACTGGGCCTCCTGCTGCTGGCCTTCCTGCTGTCGCTGAGATACTGGGGCTGGGGTTTGTTAGCTGTCTTCTGGTTCGAGTTCGTGCAGCAGCCGATCTACAACCTGATCATGGGTAACACCAAGGAACAGCGCATCCTACAGCACGTGCAGCAGCATGCAAAGTGTGGAGACCCCCAGAGCGTGCTGGAGGCCATCGACACTTACTGCTCGCAGAAGGAATGGGCCATGAACGTGGGAGACAAGAAAGGTGAGTGGCCTGGCCAGTAGGTTGTAGTCCTGGGAACAGGGACCCTGGGCTGGATATTACAGCCCTTATAGCAGAGACTTGTGGAGTGGGGAGAAAGGGAGTTTGGGACATGCCCAGGTGTGGGGGCAGGGCTCATCCAGAGCCCAAGCAGTAGGCCCAGCCTGGCTATCCCCCAGCTTGGGCATAGTTTACACAGAAACCTGTTCACACATGGCCACCCATTACAAACTGTATACCTGGTGGGAGAAAGGGATGGTTGACAAAATGCGTTATGTAAGGAGAGTGCTTGTCTGTGCCCCCTCCGGGGACCTGGGGGTAAGAGTGAGGTTCTGTGAAGTCCCCGTCACACACAGCTCTGTGACACTGGTCTGTGGTGACTCTTCATGACCCTGTAGCCCTGAGAGGCCACAGCAAGGGCTCCATGCAGGTCCCCATGCTTAGATAGTTCTGAGGGAGGCAGGCTCCCTTTGACCTCTGCCTGTCTGCCATGGGACCTGTCTGGGAACCAGTCAGTCAGGTTTTCCTGGGTCCTCCCCCTGGCCTTAGACTCTAGCCTGAGACACAAGTGTGTGTTCTACTGTACCCACTAAAGTCAAGCCCTGGGGGCAAGACTGTGGAGCCCGGTCCAGCCTCCTCTGTCAGACTCACTTGGAGCCTATAACACTAGACAGACCCAGGGAGATGGGAAACAGAGAGGGATCTTGTGCATGGGAAAGGAATGTTGGAGGCCTGAAGGAGCTTATGGGTATGTATAGTGGGGACCAGGTCCTTGGAACTGGGGGTTGGGGGAAGAAAAGAGCCCCCCCAGAAGTGGGTAGAGAGACTAGAGAGGCTGGGAATGTTGCTCAGTCCAGGTAGGGGTGGGACCTAGGACTGGGGACTAAATTCCCCTCTGTCCACTTGTGATCACATCCTTCTCAACCACCCCACAGGCCAGATCATGGACGCAGTGATTCAGGAGTACAGCCCTTCCCTGGTGCTGGAGCTGGGGGCTTACTGCGGCTACTCGGCAGTGCGCATGGCCCGCCTGCTGCTGCCCGGAGCAAGGCTGATCACGATGGAGATCAACCCTGACTTTGCTGCCATCACCCAGCAGATGATAGAATTTGCAGGCCTGCAGGACAAGGTATGGCACGCCTGACCTGAGTGACATGTGGACATTGAGGCTCAAAGAAGCCGGGGCAAGCACGTGGGAAGGGTGCAGGTCCCACCATGCTTGTTTCAAGCACTGGTCACCCCCTATGGTTGGGCCCCTTGATACTTCCCAGGTTGGGGGTCAAGGAAGGAACCCTCTCCAGCTCAGGAAGGTTCTGCCCCATCCTATAGAACAGGAACCTCCCAAGGCTGCCCTGGCAGGGACAGGGCAGAGTGGAGACTTAACTCCCTAGAACCCTAAAGAAAACTGTAACAGGAGTACATGTGTGGGCATCCAGACAGGTGCTCCTGATGTTCTCGTGTGCATGGGCACAGCACCGACCAAGCTCTATTGCAGGTCACCATCCTGGTTGGGGCCTCCCAAGACCTCATCCCCCAGCTGAAGAAGAAGAATGATGTAAACACGCTGGACATGGTCTTCCTTGACCACTGGAAGGAACGCTACCTGCCAGACACGCTTCTGCTGGAGGTGAGTCACCCATACCTCACCTGACAGGCTCCTGTGCTGACTGCTGCTGTGGAGACTGCTGGGGGCACCCAAGTTTGCTGGACTCAGCTTCTCTGAAGAGCCAGATACCAGGGCTGAGCCCTGCTGAGGGCAGCCCAGGAAGGCCCTTGGGACAGTCTTGGACACTGACCTCCAGCCAAGGTACCACCTGAGATCAGGGAGCACAGAGGGCTGTGGAGGCCCCAGGGCAGGTGCAGATGCTCCGAAGATCCTATCACTGGTAGAAACAGTGAGCAGGGCAGAGGGCAAGGGTTCTGGGCAGGGGTGCTTGGATAGAGACTAGGTACTAGGTACTGGGGCCTATTGGGAATTTGGGTGCCAGCCTGTCTGCAGCAGGACAGGGTGCTGCCAGGTAGCAGGGTGAGCACCATGGGCCTCTGTTGTGCGGTGCCCCCACTCTCCCCAGACCCTTCCCAGCCCTCAGGACTGCTGCTCTCAGCTCCACCTGGCAGAGACCCCCAGCCAGGACTGGGAGCCATCCTTGCTCCATGAGTGGCTGGGGCTTGGGACTTGGGGTACTGGACAGCTGCTCAGGAACTAACACTTAATGAACTTTCCATTGGAGATACTTTAGCTCATCCCACCCTTGTGGCCAACAAGGGGACATGGAACAGCTCCTTGGCCTCCACTGGGTCCTATGATAGCCTCCCTGCCTGTGGCTAACATGAGGCTGTCCCACATGGTCCATTTGGTGTCATCCACCTTTGGCTATCTCAGGATAGGTCCCCCTGTCATGTATAGGGGGACCCTGAGTGTGAGGGCCTCAGCCACTGAGCAGGGCAGGGCCACTGTGGCCTAGACATGGATGAGAAGGGACCAGCACTGGCTCAGGCCTGGTGTGTGTGAAAGCACATAGAAAGTTCTGGCAACAGGGAGACACAGAGAGCTTTGCCAGGCAAGTCCTGTAGCCTGGCAAAATCATTATTGGCCTTATGCAGGAGGAGAGGAGGACTGGGAAAGACATTTTGGAGGTGTACTAGGATTGGAAAGGAGGGATGTCCCAAGGCCTGGACGTTGGACCCGAGGACCTGCACTGGCCAAGGGGCTAGGCAATCGGGAGACAGGAGGTAAAACTGCAGGCCAGGCCAGGGAAGCCATGAGGAGCTGAGCCGAGCAGAGTGGCCCCAGTCTGGCAAAGGGATATGAGTTTGGAAATTGGGTATTGAGAGCGGAGAGCAGGAGGCTGACCAGACAGGCCTCACGTAGGCAGGAGAGACAAGACTATAGCTGGCCCTGCGTCACAGGGAGTGGATTTCAGCAGCTTTTAGTGTATGTGGTAATTACAGGGGTCTGCTTTTAGAAAAGTAGCAAATATTGCAGTTCAGTAACTAGGAAACTAATAGTTTTCTCAGTGCTGCTTGTTCAAAGCCAGTAATTATCTCAAGAAGAGAAAGTATAAATTGGGAACTGCTGTGGGGTTTTTTTTTTTTTTTGGTTTGTTTTTTTTTACCCCATGCTGGGGATGGAACCACTTTACTATACCACCAGTCACTTGTTTCATTTTACTTTTAGAAGTTGCTTTGTTTTTATTTTTTTAATTAATTTATTTTTTGTGGTGTTACTGAGGTTTGAATTCAGGGCCTTGTACTTGCTAGGCACATGCTCTATAACTGGAACCATGCCTCCAGCTTTTTTGTTTTGAGACAGGTCTTGCTATGTAGATCAGGCTGGTCTTGAACTTGCAATTCTCCTACCTCAGCTTCCTGAGTGCTGGGATTACAGGTGTGTACCCCCACATCAGGCAAGTGTTTTTTTTCAGTTCTGGGGATTAAACCCAAGACCTTGAGCACGATAGGAAAGCACTCCCTCTGCCACTGAGCTACACTCCCAGCCTGAAATTGCTTTCTTTTCTTTTTTTAACTTTGTTTTATGGTTATCAACAAAAACAACCTCTAAGCTTCTAAAGTCAATTCTTTTTTTTTTTTTTTTTTTTTTTGTAGCGCAGGCTGGCCTGCCTCATCCTCATCCTCTTTGCCTTGCTGATTACCGGCATGTGCCATAAAGTCAATTCTAAGACAAGGTGTCTGGGGCATCCCTTGCTCTGGCTGTTCCTTTCCATGGGGACATACTTCCTGTCTAGGCTGCTCTATGATTTTATGTGATGTAACCAGATACACCCCCCACCCCCACTTAGTTAGATAAGCATTCTATATACAAGTACCTATCTGTGGCAGTGTGTCCAATGATGACTTCTTTCCTCCTGCACAGAGCCTGGGTCCTGAAACCCCATCATCTTCCCAGGCCCTGGCATTGGTGGAGATAAGGGTCTGCCAATGCAGGAGCTTGAGGATGTCCAGAGCAGACCCCGGCAAGCTTGTCAGTAGAGAGGTCGGCCATGCCCCCAGCCTTGCAGGGTCACCCTGGTCAGGGCCGGATCTCATCTGTGTGATCACACCACTGCCCAAATCCTTCCCCTTACAGATGCATATGGTCCTGGAGTTAGTGTCTAGGGTTACACTGGCTCCTCCACCCACCCACCCATAAAGCATCCACTGAGCACCTGTAGTGCCACATACATATTCTAGGGTGTGGGAATGGATGATATAGAAGTGAATGGAAGGTTGGGGAAGGGGGGGGGCGCGGGGATTGGCTGCTCAGCGTGTGCTAGGCCCTGGGTTCAATCTCCAGCACCACAAAAAAACAGTGAATGGAGAAGCAAAAGGCTCCCTCCCTCACGGAACTGGTATTTCAGAGGTGGGACGGGAGCCTTCACACAGCCCTTTGCTGCACTCTGCAGAGAAAATGAGGGCGTCAGGGAGACCTGGACCCCAGGGCTGGACAGGCCAATGCATGAAACAGCAGCCTGGGGGAGGAGGGAGCACCTAGTTTGAAATGGCTTTGCCAGGCACCCGAACCCTTCCTCCATCTGTCCCCTGCAGAAGTGTGGCCTGTTGCGGAAGGGGACAGTGCTCCTGGCTGATAATGTCATCGTCCCGGGAACGCCAGAGTTCTTGGAATATGTGCGCGGGAGCAGCAACTTTGAGTGCACACACTACAGCGCGTACCTGGAATACATGAAGGTGATGGATGGCATGGAGAAGGCCATCTACATGGGCCCGGGCAGCCCCGGGCAGCCTTGACTGCCCACCCACACTGGACTCCCCACCAAGCCCCCTTCTAAAAGGCAAGACAGACATATCCCTGCTAAGCCCACTTCTGTGGTTCTGGGTCTGTCCTCAAGCGAAACCCACTTCAGGTTTAAGAGCCTGACCCTTCTGTGCCACTGTTGTAAACTGTCACACGTGGCACACTCTGAAGGGTAGTGGGCTCACTGTGCAAAGCCACTGCAATAAACCTAGAAAGTAACTACTGACAGAGACAGAATTGAGGAGCTAGAGGTGTAGGGTGGACTACAGTACTTGCTTAGCATGCATGAGGCGCCAGGATTCAATCCCCAGCACTGAAGAAAAGGAAAAAAAGACCAAAGTGAAGCATGTAATGTCCCAGACAGTATCACTCGCCAGCAAATGTGACCAATAGGGTTTCTGCAAGGGCAGATTCTCGGGCACCCATGTGTCTGTTAGGCCCAGGAAGCTGTGAAGGAGTTGGAAACATCTGGAAACTGCGGTGCCTTGCACTCAACCTTAAGGTTTGCCATCACTAGGTGGCAGCAGTGCCTGTGTGACATTGCCACCACCACCTTGCACCACTCTTCTGACTCGCTAAGTTTTGCCTTTTTTTAAAGAATGAATTGTAATCTCTTTACTAAAATTGGCTAGCTGTAATAATCTTATATACTAAAGTCATGTTTGAAAGACAATAGAAAAAAAGAAATTAAAGATTTAAGTATTCAGCTAAAAGGGGTCAACAGAGTACTATTCTTACCATTCACGAAGCTGCTCCCTCTTTTGCCCCTCAGGTTCCTCTTGGTGGGAGACTTAATGTTGTAGGTGGGTCTCACGCTACCAGGGTTCTGAGTATCACACTAGCCCAGGGTTCCTGACTGTAGAAATGGAGGGGGAGCCAGCTCTGCTCCAGGGACACCTGTTAGCCTGCCCGGAAAACCAAACAGGGCACTTGGCCAGCCTTCATACTCAAGTCTGATGGAGCAGCGGTGGGGATGGGTGGACATAGGGCCATGCCAGGCAGAGTGCCCAATCCCACTCAGTCTGGCTTACAGAAGGGGAAGTAGGCTCAGAGCAGCCAGAGCACTGCTGCTGGTTGCCCAGCTGTAAGCAGTGAAGTGGAGCTGGTTTGTGTCTGCTTAAATCCAAAGCTATCCCAGCCCCTACCCTGGCCCTCAGGCCCCAACACCCTCAAGCAGCCAGCCTGTGGGCCACCTGAGAAGCTCCCCAAGGTCCCACCCAGCAGGGCCCAGTTCCTAGACTAGATCAACCCCATCCTGGTTTATCCCACCTATGTCTAGTCAGCTATGGCCAGGGCTTGGCTCCTGGGCTCAGAGCCAGCTCATCACTCAGAAGCCAGCCTGCTTCTGTGAGTGTACAAAGTGGACAGCAACCAGCCAGCTGGATGGGTGTGAGGAAATGTCCAAAGGCCAGGAGTAGAGCCTCTATAGACCACATCTGGGGGACATGTGGAAATTGCTAGGCCTTGCACTCAGGCTGTCTTCGAGGTTTGTTGTCACCAGGTGGCAGCAATGCCTCAGTGATGGTACTATGACCCACAAGTGAGTGACCTATTCTCCACCCAGCAGAACTGTGGCCTTTCTCTTCCACTCTCCACACTCAAGAAGGGGGCAGATGCTTGGTGGGGGAGGGGGGTTCTGAGCCACAGAAGACAGGAAGTTCCTTTACTGTTTTTTTTTTTTTTTTATTTTCTTACAAAAATTTAGATGTTTACCAATACAGTCTTATTTTGGTTTCATTTTTAATGCTTTTGTCAGTGGTTTTCTTCTGTTTTGAAGTCACAAACAGCAGGCACTGAACAGCAGCCCCCCATGCTGTGGGGGGTTAGTCCCAGAGGTTACGGTGAGGTTCTGGGCAGATGCAGATGCAACAAACGTGGCAGCCACAGTGGCCCCATAGAGGAGGCTCAGGAAAGGGTTCCACTGCATGGTGGTACTACGCATCCATTGCAGGACCCCCCACCTCACTGCTTCTAAAGCCTCCATGCCCAGAGGTGGTCTGCCTGCCTTACAGGTGGGGCTCCAGCCCAGGGAGCCCCCTCCACCCTTTGGAGTCTGACTTCCTTCCCCAAGCCCCCTTTCCTGCCCATACCTGTACTGCTCCTCTGGGAGACCCTCTCCTATTCTGCCGGAACAAGGCCACATGCCCTCCCCCTGCCACCTCCCTGGGCCCTGCTCTGGCTTTTTCTCTCTCATACTCACACACAGCACCATGTCAGTAAACAGCTAACTCAGGCCTAGGGAGTTAGATCAGGAGATCAGAGGGAGGGACAGTCAGGATAGAACAGGAGGGGTGTCCAGAAAGCAGGCCCTGGCTCAGGGCAAGGCTTGGCCATCCCCTGTGGCCAGGATGCTCCAAGCTCCATGACAGCATTTGCTCAGGACGACCCTTCTTCCGGTGATCCAATCCCTAAGAAATGGCTGGGCCTGGGCCCTGCAGAGTGAGGGGGAAGGTGTGTGCTTCAGCCAGAAGCACAGGCAAGCGGCAGGGCAATGTACAGCTTCTGGACAGGGCAGCTGCCGTCATAGGTCACAAAGATATGAACAAAGGGAGCAGCTATGGGTCAGGGGGTGAGGGCCAATCCTGACTTGCGGGTCCTGTGGGGCCCTGTGCTAGGGGTGTTTGAGGGTATGGACAACCCATCGCCACTCTGAACCCACTTCCTCAGGACCCTGACCTCCCAGTGCCTGGGGTGAACCTATGGGCCCTGGGAGGACCTTCTACTCAGTCCTCAGTTTGACCTTCCCTAAAATGGGCAGCTGGGTCCTTGCCAGGGAAGCACACAGAGCAGAGCATGCAGCGGCAGTGATTAATAAGAAGACCCAGTCCAGAGAATGAGAAAACAGTTGGGCAAACAACCAGATGAGAAAACGTACCAGGCATGCAAGCTAGACCCAGGAGTCAACCGGCTGAGGCTTAGTGTCCCCCACGGCGTCCACCAGCCTGACCGCAGGCCTGCTGGGCCCGGAAGGAGGGGCCTTCCTGCCAGTGTCGGACTGCAGTGCATGAGTGGGTGGATGGGTGGGTGGGCAGACAAAAGGGGTTAGGAGGCAGAACAAAGCATGTTAGCTGCAGCTGAAGGGCAGAGCTGAGCTTGTCAGTGGGGACAGGGCCAGGGTGGCAGGCCAGGGCCAGGGCCAAGGCAGCACAGGGGAGTTGAGCTGGCATGGCTCACACAGGGTTGGGGTGATGTGCTGACACACAGAGAGGCCCGTGCATATAGCCAAGGGATTGGCACAGAGCAGGTGGTAGGTGCTACCCTCACCAGGGACCACAGTGGGCACCTTATCCACAACATGCACGCAGAGAAAGGTGCAGACCCACTTGCTCAGACTGGTCCTGTGCAGCATGTGACCTGGCAGAGTTCTGTCCCTTGCCCCTCCCTCCCAGCAGGTGTGCGCTCCAAACCTACCAGCACCCAGTGTGGCCCATGTGGGGCTGCTTCCTGGCTTGGCCCCATGACCTGGCAGCCCTGCAGATGAGCACCAGCCTGGCCATGCCTCGGGGCCCAGATCAAGCTCAGCACTGCCTAGCTGATCTTGGGGCAAGCACTAGATACAGAGTTTCCCTAGGTACCTGCCCATAACCACTTACTTTCAGTGGTTCCTTCTCAGAGGCCTCCCCTGCAGAGTCACTGCCCAGGGTCCTCCGTTCCCTCCGGTCCACAGTGGAGTATCCATCTGTGGGGTGGGGTAAAGTGGGAGAATCAGAGGAACTCTGAGAGGCAGGCACTGTGGGAACCAGGTGACCTTCCTCTCAGCCCAGACACAGAGTGGGATAGGAAGCCTTAAAGGGGATCCCCACCCACCCTGTCCTGGGGATTTGTCCTAGTGCCAACTCTCACCAGCCCCGCCTCATACTCGCTGAGCACCCCTGAACTAAATTTCTCTTTGCCAACATACACCTCCTTGGAAGGCATTTCCAACACCAACCATGTTTACCCCATAAAACCAGTAGGCCCAGCGCAGGCCCCTCCCCCTCCCTGAGCAGGAAACAAGCACACCACACCTGCCCTCACCTGGGCCAAGTGTGTCCATGGGGATCACGTCCCGGCTGCCTGGCTTCTCACTATCTGCAAAGCATGAGCAGGTGGCTCTTAGGTAGTGGACAGGTGTGGGGTGGTGTTGAGGGGCACAGGGCAGAGAAGTCTACCACAGGACTGGCTTCAACAACCCTGGGTGCCCTGTTTCTAATGTTTTGGCATTCCTCTTGCCCCACCTCTATCTGCTGGCAACTACCACCCAACTTGGTGCAAATGCAGATGGCACAGAAAGGGAGTACCCAAGAAGGTGAGAACAGGAAAAGGAGCCCTCACCATGGCACCATCTCAGAGGGAGGGGGCCTGTCTCCCTTCCCTGTCCCTCACATACCTTATCACCATCAGTGCAGGCAGAAGCCACCTGGGCCTCAGGATGGGCTCCCATGTCCTCCTCCCCTGAACAGTACTCACCTAGGCTCTTGTCTACTAGTGGAAGTGTGCTGTCATCAAAGCCTCCACCCCCGGGGCTTGGTGTTCCCTTGGGCCCCTTAGCAGTGGCAGCAGCTGACTGAGGAGGCACAAAACACAGGAGGTGAGGTCGGAGGTCAGGTGGGGACCTGACCTGGCAAAGTGAAAGCGGGAAGGCCAGCGCAGGCCACACCTGGAAGCGTGCCTTGGTCCAGCCATCCCTCTGCAGGGCTCCTCGAAGCTCTTTGTAGCTCCACACAGTCTGCAGCACGTGTGACGCTGCCTTCGCCTCACGCACTGACTGGCTGCGGATGGGCCAGGGGCAGGGTCAGCGTTCCCCCTCGGTCTCCCCATGGAAGGGCACCCAACCCTTGCCAGGACCCCACTCCTGCCCACCTGGAGGCCACCAGCGCCACTAGTGCCGGCACACCGCGGGCCTGCAGGAGTGAGCGCGCATTGTCCGGGCTGTCGGACACGATCTCGTGGATGGTGTTGAGCGCCGCCACCACTGTGTCTTCCTCCAGGCGGGCCCCGGGGCGCGCCGGAGCCTGCGCACTGCGCACGTTCCGCACCAGCTCCGCCATAGCATAGCTCCCTGAGGGGCAGGGTCGGGTGTTACCTCACACTTCTGCCCCGTGGGAAAGAACAGGGTTCACGCGCTGCCAAGAGTCCCCAGGATGCCACAACAATATCCCTGCCAGAAGGGGGCTGAGCCTCCCATGCTGGGTCAGAAAGACATGAACTCCTGCAGCGGGGCCCAGCCCAAGTCATGGGGGGCGGGGGGGATGCCAGGCCTCTAAACTACCCAGTCCCCAATCGCTGGACCCCCAAGCCGACCCCCTGGTTCCACACCCTGGCGTGGCCCCATCTGAATCCTCACCGATGAGATCTTTGTTGCGCCGATCCAACGAGAGGTTGCGCAATGCGATGGCCACTGCGCGCACCACCTTATCAGTCTCAGACTGCAGCAGCTCCACCAGCACGGGCAATCCACGCTCCTTACGCACAGTGGCCCGGATGTACGTGGCCCACTGCGTGGGGTGGGGGCAGGAGGTGAGTTGCTCAGAGGGGAGTTGTGCAGCACAAAGCCCCACGCCATCAGTTCAACACCAACTCCACACCCAGGACACACTGCCTGTAGCTCCTGTACCCTGATCCTTCTGGACCTTGGGGAGGTGCTGCGTCCCTTCCTCTTCCCCCTAGCACAGGCAGGGTCTAGGGGCAGCATTAATGGGATGTCTGGAATTCCCTCTTTGTCCAGGTCTGGCCCCTCACCATCCAGTTGCCAGCGCTGAGGTTTTGCAGGGCGCCAGCAGCAGCCTCCAGAGTGTTGAAGTTCCGGCTCTCCGTGAGGAGGGAGAGATAGAGACGTACCACCTCTGGCTGGTATAGCAGCTCAAAGCCTGGATATAGGGCAACCACAGTCACCTAGAACCTCCTCCCTTCTTCTTCACCCACTATCGATACTCCTAGAGCTGGGGTGAGCTGGGGCCAGGGATAGGTGTGAAGAGTCAAGACAAGTTTATTATCAATGTATTCATCCTTGTGGCCACCCAAAGAGAAAAGTATTCCTACTTCACAGATGGGCAAACTGAGGCTCAGTCAGGAAGTGATGGGTTTGGGTGAGGTTGTTCTTTCCTCAACTCTGCAGCCAAAGAAACGGGGACTGGATATGCCTGGCAGCCTAAGCATCCAAGAGGTAAGGGTGGGGTGTAACAGGGTCCTCGTTTGCCAGTAACAGATTGTACAGCCAGGGATCCACCCCTAGCAAAAGGACTACTATCCTTAGCAACAAAGCCCACCGTCCTTTACAACAGGACCTGCCTTCACTGGCTTGCAACTGTGGTTGCACAACCAGGGCCCCACACCCTTAGCTACAGGGCCTGCCCTCCCAGACAACCAGTCTAGGCTCCTCAGTGATTGAGACCCCAGTCTGGTAGCATGGCTGCCCAGATGGTGCTCCATAGTGGGTTTCAGATATAGAAACAGAAGGTTGTCTTCCATGCCTGCCTGTCCCCACACTGAGGCTTCTGCCTGGCTCAGGACATAATTCCCTACCCCTTGTCCTCCCACCCCATGTTTCATCACTCACTGTCTTCATACTTATTCTCCCTCCATTCTACCTTGATGGTCTTCCTGCTCCCCAAACTCTTCAACCACATTTTCCTCTCTTGGCATTTGCACAAGCCAGTTGCTCTGTCTGGAATGGCTGGGCCCTTCCATAGCCATTTCCATGGCTCCCATGGCTGGGCTCTTCCACACTCTTTGGGGGCATCTGGGCTCTTCTAATTTGCAAGGTTGGCTAAGCCCCACCAGTGTTCTCTCTCTCTCAGACTGGCTCAGAGGGCACTGTACAATGCCAGTACATACTAGGAATCCAACAGACACAAAGGACGGGAAGGGTGAACCACTCTAATCACAGGAGTCCATGAGAAGAACATTCTGGCCCAGTTCTCCTTGCTCCCAGGCCTCTCAAAGTGACACTGTCTTCACTAACAGCTTCCTTCTATTCTGCCCATCTCTAACTTGCTGGGTGACTAGCTTCTCTGCACATTTCTCCCTACCGTGCTGGAAATTGTCCGTGGCACTGACCCTGATTTTGAACCCCCAGGAGGTGCCCAAGGTGTGGAACCTCCTCCAGGGCACCCCACACCTGTGGGCCCGTTTCTCCATCTGATTCCTTAGGCCCTCAGGCCTGCTTGATGGCACAAAGCTTCATTGCCAAACTCTCCCTACAGCACTGGCTCTGCCTTTGCCCACTCACCTTTGGCGGCCTCTGTTCTCTTGGGCAGGTCCAGCGTGTCAACATTCCGGTCCATCTCACCATCCTTCTTCCCTGCAACAGAAGGGTGCTGGGAGGTCAGGCAGAATCCATGGGTGATGAGAATACGTCAGGAGGCTTAGACATAGCCCTCTCCTGCCCAGAGCCCAAAAAGTTCTCATGTCCAAGGTCTGGGCACTAGAAGGACCTGGGAGAGGAACATCATTCTCACGGTTCAGGTAGGCATTCTGGCCTGACAGTGTACAGCTAGTGGGGACTGGGGACATCCTAACCCTGCCTTGAGCACCTAGGCCTCCTCACCAATCAGGTGCTGAGAGATATGCCACAGAACCTCCCCATGGCACTTGTGTAGCAGGGTAGGTGTGTGAACTGATCAAGCCAAGACTAGGTGGCATATAGTTGCAAGCAGAGAGACCAAGAGCTGACAGGTATAGGACTTGTTGGGGGTCACACAGCAAAAGCAGCAATGCAACTAAGAATTCTAGCAAAGGGGAAAACTCCCTCAGTCCAGAGGCCAGAACATGGTCTCAGCACCTACTGGCCAAGAGAACCCCCACACCCAGATGAGCCCCTGTGGCCCCAGCTAGTACACCTCTACTACAGACGGCTGTCTCCAGCCACTTCACACCTCAACTGAGGGACCTCTGGAACACAGCACACCAGGCTCAGATGACCTGGGAGCCCTGCCTTGCCCACTCTCATAGTATCTATCTCTATACCACACATCACCCACTCCATAAGAGGGGCAACCTTCTCCTCTGGTGCTTGTATGACTGGACACACCCCAGGCCTGGCCCACAGTCTGCTCTGCCCAGCCCTGCCTAGATAGCTGAGTCTGACTTACAGAGGACAGCCCCTGGCCTCCCCAGTCCAGGGCTCACATTCCTGCCTTTGTCATGCCCATGCAGTTGTCATGGAGATGGCTGCCCTTCCATGGGACTGGGGGTGGAGCAGGGCCTGGAGGATGGAAGGCATCTGGGAGCCTACTGCATGCTGACCTGCAGTTGTCATGGAAATAACTGCCTGAACTATGGGGTCAGGCATCTCCCTGGTGCCCCACTGCACCTGTCAGACCTGGACAGCAGGACAAACAAGGACTCACCTTGATGGAACCACTCCTCTGGGCAGCCGGAGGAAGCACAAGAGACAGGAGATGAGCCTGAGTGAGTGGCACCCTCCCCAATGCCCTTTGTTCCCACTGCATGCCAAATCAAACAGGAGGAATGGAGAGCCTTTCACCAGTGACTCTTGGGGGCTGAGTGCCCACTAGGGGAACAGGAAGGGAAGGTCTAGGGTCAGGGAGACAGGTAAAGGTGCTACTCAGGCTCCCAGACAGGTGGGGTGGACCTGAAGCTGCACTGTGAATGGCCAGGTGTCACCTGTAGGCGCAAGGAACCCTTCCCAGAGTTCGGGGACAAGGTCTAGGCAGTGGTAGAGACCAACACTCTCTGGAGGCCTGGATCTGCACCCTGTTAGCTGTGGGGCCCAGGGCAGTGCACCCCTCTCAGCAACCTGCCTGCCCACTGGGAGTGACCACATGCTCTCCAGTCTCCCGTAACTGCCTGCCAGGGACTCCAACAAGAGACTTTAGCTGCAGGGGCAGGAGCTACAGAAGTACCCCCGTCACACCCACCCACCTTTGGCCTTCTTGCCACCAAAGCAGCTGACGTCATCCCTCCTCCGGCGCTGGGAGCCCATGGCACTGCCTGGGGGCCCGGGCTCGGCCTCCTGGTACCTGTCAGCCCCAGGCACCTCCTTGTGCACATGATAAGACAGGTTCCTCATGATGCACACGCAGTTCTCCACCGACTGTTGGGAGAGGTGACCTGGTAGGGCAGGGCTGTGGGGCGTAGGGGCTGCTGGCCATCCTGAGCCTTAAGGAAAGACTGGCCACAGCCAGCATGCACTGAGGACACTAAGAGTTTACAAGCGGCAAGGTCTGAGCTCGGGGCCCACATAGGAGGGAAGTGACAGAGAGAGGGGAGGGCCACATTGCCTTCCCAGTGTGACCACTACAAGCGGGCCATCTCCAGACCCACACACCCATTCCCCTCTGAGCCATCTTGGACAATTCCACACCCCTAGGTCCCATCCCTATTTCATCTGGTTCTCTGACTCTTGGTGGGAGGCTCTGAGACTATCCCCATCCTGCCCTGCCCACCTTGTTGTCAGTGTCCTTCCTGCCCACTGCCGACTGCAAGGCATGCAGGAGCGCATCCACCAACCCTTCACACTCTCGGAGTCGCCGGCGGGCCTCAGCGCCATCTGAGCTTACGTTCCTGGGTGATCAAGAGCAGGCCAGTGACCCCTGTCCCCGTCTCATGGAGACTCTCCCAGTCCCACCCCTGGCTTCCATGCTTGTCTTTATCTGTACAGTGGACCCTGCTGCTGCCCCAGTGGGCTACCTGGACAGGATAACACAGTCTGGAGCACAGTGATGGTAGGGTAGGGGGCCTAACCCTCCAGACCCAGGAGGTGGGCCTTTGTAGTGCGGGGAAGGGGTGTTTCCTGATTCCCAGTTGAACTGAACACAGAGGCCTGATTCCGTGCATGGGCAATTTTGCCCCACCATCCCAGTGACAGTTCTCTGCACCCCAACTTTCCTAAGGTCAGGACACCACAGGACCACAGGAGCCCTGCACTCTGCCTGTGGAGTCTCTGCAGAGCCTCTCAGGAGGGGAAGAGTCACAGGCTAGGAGGACAAGCCTCTGAGGCAGACTGGAGATGAGGGTCCTGATCTCCCTCCGTGGCTATCATGGTAATGGGAGACTGGGTGGGACCGGAGCTGTAGGAAACTGTGGGAAAGGTGGGAGACCTGTCCAGAGGGTGTCCTTGGGGGTGAGGGCAGCCCATCAGATCCCATTTCCCATCCTCAGGATGTGTTCCAAAGCATCTAAGGTTTGGATGCCCCACTCGCTGGGACCATGAGGATATGGCAACTGCAGGATGGGGCCCACATATGCACGCAGCTTCTGATACCCTTTCATCCTGCAGAAACAACCTGAGCCCAATCCCTGCTCACACCTCAAGCAGCCTGATGTGTTCTTGAAGACAGTTGTCCACTCAGCATCTCGTGGCTTAGAGTCCTCATTAGGCTCACGCTCCCAGCCAGAGTGGGGCACGATGACCTCATGGGTCAGCGTCTGCAGGCCATGGTCAATGATGACCATCTTCAGGGGCTCATAGGATGACAGGTTCCAGAGTGTACCTGTGGGATGCTGTTCATAACTGCACTGGCCATGGGCCATGCCTCCCGTGCCACCCCAGGAGACCAATCCAGACAGGCCTCACCCGCCTCATGCTGCAGCCCTCACGTGAAGTTAGTACTGGGTTGTTTGGGGGGTCTCTTTGGTGGTGCTAGGGATTGATCCCAGGGTTTTAGCACATACTAGGCCAGTACTCTACCCAGCCCACACAAGTAGTAACAAAAGCCGTGACAGGGTCTGGATAAGATGTGCAAGCAGCACCCAGAGGCAGCCTTCAGCTGAGAGGAAAGGATTGGGGTGTGGAAGGGGCATGGCATGTAGGTGGGACTAACGTTCTTGAGACCACAGGGCCACGAGAGAGCCACAGGCCCACCTCTTCATTGTCACGGGCTGTGAACCAGGGGGACAGGGCCCAGGGAAGCTGTGGGAACATGGGAGAGGTGGGAAGGGACCTCCCTAAGGGGCCAGTGCCAGCCCCCCTCCCCATGGTAGAGACTAGGGATCTGTCACAGTGTCTGGTCCTGATGCCTGTCCCCAGGGCAAGCTGGAACTCCTGACCACCCGGGTGTTAACACTGAGCTGGCTTTCCCCTTTGTGGGCTAAGCCTCATACTCATCTTCCTGAGCAAGCAGGCATGGTCAGGTCCCTCTTACCGGTGACCAACTCGCGGACCTCATTGTCACGGGCAGCCCTCAGCAGGCGCACCAGGGCAGGCACACCCCCGCAGTCCCGGATGGCAGCCTTGTTGTCTGTGTCACGGCCGTAGGACAGGTTGCGCAGTGCCCCACAGGCCCGACGCTGCACCTCGGACCGAGGGTGGTCTAACAGTGCCACGAGCAGTGGCAGCCCACGCAGCTGCCGCACACGCCGCTTGACGCCCTCATTTTCGAAGCATAGGTGCTGCAGGTAGGCGGCTGCATTGGCTTTCACTGGGTCCACTGGGTGCCGTAACATGGCCAGCACCTCAGGCAGCTCAGGGTCCCGCCAGCGAGGCTCCTTACGGGTGCTGTCTACCGAAGGAGAGCGCCGCACCACCCGGTCGAGGCTACCCAAACTGCCCCGCTCAGGCTGGGCCAATGGCGCTGTAGCTGCTGGGAATGGGGACCGCTCATCTATCAGCTCACCGGCATCATCGGCCACATCTTCATAGGCCCTACACAGGCAGGCAGGGCATGTGAGCATCTTCACAGCAGTCCCACCACCCCCTAAGCTGCCTACCATGGTTTATCCAGGGAACTATGGGCTGGCTCACCAGGTAGGGTCAGCTAAGAACACCTACCTGAGATGTACACTGAGCATAAAGTGGACACTGAGTCATGCCCTAGCCAGCCCAGCAAAGACTGACTTAGAGCTAAGGGCAGAGCCAAACCCCACCAGCCAGAGGCCATCAGAGCTCCCATTCCTCCCAGGACAGTGATTTTTCACTTCTATCACCAGGCAGTGGTCCCCAATACTGAGCTGAATGTGTTTCCACATAGTACCTGTTGGTGATGGGGGGTGTGAAGGGGGTGTCCCACCTCCCTTTCATAAGATCATCTGGCTGGTACCAGGATGTGGGAGAACTGGGTGACCCTCCCCACATATGGCAATTCCAGTAAGACCATCCAAGAGGCATTCAGGCCACCAGCCCCTCAGGACTGAGATGTCCTTGGTTCCCAATAGCCCTGTAGGTTGCTGCCCTTAAATCTACTTGCCAGAGTAGGGACTGAGGCTAAGAAGGACAGATGACTTTCCCAGGATTACATAGGCAAGATCTGGACCCAGACCGTGGTCATATTCCCACTCTGTAGATACAGACGAGGACATAAGAGATGGCATTAGGAACTGTGACAAGAAGGACCAGGGCCCCTGGGTTCTGGTTACTATCTGCATGGTGGGGATTGAAGCACAGGGAGAACTGGGGTCTCAAGTTCAGAGTTAACACCCCGAGGCTCTTGTGTTCATGTGTTCCTGGCCATCTGGCTGAAGCAAAGCTGGTGTCAGGCACTGTCATCTGCTTCTCCTTTTTCTACCATCCCAAGGCCTGCCCTTGCTGCTGTCCTTGAAAAGAACCAAGGCTAATTCAAACTAAAGAATCCATGACCAACTCAGCCACAGCAGCTTGACCACTCTATGGCTGGGCGGCTGAAGATGGAATTCCACAAGGAACAGGGTGCTCACCTGGCACGAAGGCCCCGCCCACACTCAGGTCTCCTTCGTGTGGCCGTGCCATAGTCGGACTCCAGCTCAGGGCCACCCTCGTCATCAGCAGCCAGGCTGCGTGTGTCATCCTCCAAGCCATAGGGTTCTGCCTGGAAGCGCTCAGGGAGGGAGCGGCCACTTGGTGGGCCAGGCTCAGGTCCCACTGGGAAGGCTTCCCGGCGGCCAGGCAGTGTGAAACACCCATCACCAGGTCCTGGACCAAGGGGCCCTGTACGTGGGGGCCGCGCCCCTAGCCCTCGAGACAGGCTGCCATAGCGGGGGCCATCGCGGGGCTCAGGGCCATCGGGAAAGCCACCTCCGCTGCTGAGGTAGGCTCGGGAGAGTGTGGCCACTGGGCCACCACCACGTAGCAGGAAGTGCCGATCCAGGGGGCCATCAGCAAAAGGGCCAAGCGGGGGGCCACCATCTAGCAGGGGGAGTCCATCTGGGCCCAAAGGCACCTGGCGTACTGTCCTCGTTGTCACTGTCTTCACCGTCTTGGTAACCTGGTGGACAAGTAGACAGTGGGTGGGCAGGGCAGCACTGCCCTGGTGGAGCCATAGTGACCTCAATTTCCCACCCAAACAACGGGTGGCCCCTAGGGAACCAGTTCACATGCCCATTCTACAGAGTGACAGTAGTGGCTGCCCATCCTACTCTTCTATTGCCTAGGCCTGACCATACCTTGGTCTCAGTGCGCCGAGTTGTGCCGTCTTCAGACGTGACGATGGACACGTGGGAGGTAGGTGTTCCAGGGTCCTCCTCCACTGTCACTGTCTCCTCTAGCACCTCGGGTGCCTCTGGCATTGTGGCCAGCGATGCCTGGCTGCCCGGGCTCTGCTCCTGGGGAGAGAGCAGCAAGTGTCAGAGGGCTGCATGTCAGGGATTCCTGCCTCCCCATCCTAGCGCCTTCTCAGACTGGGGTGGCAGGTAAAATAGGGCAGCCTTCCCCCCCTCCAGCTACCCTGCTCTGAGCCTCTAAGTCCAAGGAGGGATCAGCTGGAACCTGCAGGATGGTTTCCTGATGTCACCTGCCACCCTTGGCTGAGTCCTCAAGGTGTCCTGGGGCCTCCTTCCTGCCCTACAAACCTTGGGACTGTAGTTTAAGCACAGTTCACTGACTTCTGGTTGCCATGCCCAGGTTCCTGCCACCAAGACCAGCCAGACACCCTCACAGAGCAGAAATACCCAGCTCCCAGAATGCACTGTGTACCCACAGCACCAAAATATCCTTGCTCCTTCCAGCATAGACACTCTTGGGCACAGAGTGGTATATGCCCTATCTCAGGCCAATACCCCTAGGTGATGGAGACCTTGTACATCACATTAGAAACTAGAGATGGTGGAGTTGCGCCTGCAGCCACCTTGCCATCATCCTGCAGTGAGGGATGACAGTGGAATTCTAGGCAAGACAGCTTTGGAGTAAGGCCCTTCCAAGGCCCACATGCCTATTGGTTTCTGGGGGGAAACTGAGGCATGGGGCCCTGAGACACAGTCTGCCCCTGATCTTCTGCCCACAGTTCTAGGACCCTGGGGGCCTGTCACATCAACATCCTAGAATGGGCATCTGGACTGTGCCATGGTGGGGGGGGGTGGCACATTCCTGGACAGCCAGGGCAGGGTCAGCAGGAAGACACACCGTGCTGAGCCCCTGGTCCTTGCAGGATGGGTCCCTGAAGCCTAAAGACACCAAACGGAGGCCCAGGGAGGGCTGGCAGCTCACTCTGTATCTTCTCGGCTCTAGAGCCATACTGTGCCCTGCACCTGGCAGATGTGCCAGACAAGGTGCCCATGCTGCCCTCACAGCCTGCCTGTCCAGGTCTTCAGGACAGGAAGCATCCTCAGGTAGAGGCCCTGTCCTGGGAGAAGACTTGCTCTTGCATCAGTGCAGGAGTGGGGCCTGCACAACACATTAGGACAGGTTTATCTGTCAGGCTCTGATAACAAAGGAAAGTAGAGGCATAATACGCCCAGCCCCTTCCCCCAAGAGCAGGACCTCAGAAGGCAAGAGGTTACTTTACAGATGGGAAAACTGAGGTTTGCCAGAGGGGAGGGGATCTACCCAGAACCTCACAACTGCTAGCAGGATGATTTTAGGCACCTGTCTGACAAGGAAGCCTTTAAGCCTTGCCTTGTCCCTGGAGGACTGGGTCTTGACAGCTACCTTCTCAGTCTCAGGATGGAATGGAATGCCTGCTGGGACCTGGCCAGGAAGAGGAGACCCTTGTTCCCTGGGAAAGAAAAATAAACTGAGGCCCACTGTGGGGACAACTGGCTGGCTGCCAGGCAGGGTGGCCTGGGCTCTTCTCCAAGGGCACTGGGGAGTTAGAACAGCTCTGGAGCTGGGTTCTGGGCTGTCCTATCTGTGTTTGGTGACTGCATGTCAAACCCTGAGCCCTCTGCTGGGCCTTAGAGGACAAGAAGAGCTCCGGCATAGGGGGCCAGGCACCAGAGGGGGGTTTCCCCGGCTGTGTGGTGGGGAGAGGCAAGACTGAGAGCCATTGGGATAGGCTCCTGGTGGATTTGCATACATTTGCATGCTTAAACACTCAGAGAGGAGTCCCCTACTCCCTAGTGAGGTGGTAGGGCAAGGGGGAGAGCAGGGGGAAGAATGTTATGACACCTCATTGCCACCCAGTGGCCCAGCTTCTTCCTCCTGTCCTGGCTGTGATGAAGGTTGGACACGGTGCAGTTGGGGTGGTCTTGGGAGAATCAGGACCCCCAGCAAGACATCCAACCCTGCAGCAATCACCCACTAACACCCAGGCCTGGTAGCCAGGCCATGGGATCCCAAGGCCCCAAGACTCCCTGCTGGCAAATGACCTCAGGGAGCTAAAAGCGGGTGATGACTTCACCCAGTCAGGCAGGAGCGTGAGTCAGCCGGTGCTCGCGGGAAAGCCTGGCCCAATACACATGCCTGGACACACACACATAGGAATAGGGATCTAGACACGCAAAATATGAGTGTACCTAATTCCTCAGACAGGAGCATGTGCATGGCCCCAAGTATACGAGCAGCCAGACTGGCAACTGGCTTGCGCACATCAACTTGTGGGGTCATCTACCAGCACCGCAAGTGCGCATGCACCATCGTGTCTGCCAGCCACTTGTCCATACCCTTATCCATGCAGGCCATGAGATGTGCTTCCAACGTGCAGAGACCAAGTCACCAAGTCCCCCAGTTACCCACCTAGGCATCCACTGTGGGGGTAGCAGAGCTGATGACAGATGGTGAAACTAAGGCCTATGGTAAGTGAGGGGCTGAAGGGCATCTGGTGACTCAGGTCTCTGTAACATCTTCACAGTGGGTCTGTGGGATGGTGGGATGGTCACCAACATACAGCTGACACTCAACAGAGAGGCCTGGTGGGGTGCTGGATCTGTCTTACCCCAGGTCTCATGTCCACCTATCCAGACTTGCTCATTCTCAGGAACCTCTGGCCCTGTAGCTCCACACTGCCTCTGCTCCACTTCTGACTCACGCCTATTCCCCTGTGCACACCAGCCCTCCTCAACACACTGGGTCCTGCCAACCATCTTCTGTCACGCCCTCATCCTTTCTCCTCTTGCAGGGACCACACCCAGCCTCCTGTCTCACCCACCTGTGGTAAGTCCATCCTGGGGCTCTCTCATCTGTGGTGGAGCAGGTCCATGGCTGCTAGGCCTCGCCCAGAGAGAGACTGCTACCCAGGCCTGAGGTTTCCCAAGAGCTTCCCTGGGCTTGTGGGATGCCCCAATGATGCAGACCCACCAGCCAACCACTGCTTTGAAGAGGTTTCCGAAGGACCCAACACTGAGCACAATACTGAGCGTCTTGAGCCCCGTCACATACTAGAGCCTCAGCCTCCTCATACAGAGAGGGAAGGAACAGGGTGCCAGACCCACCTATGTGGCCAGATGCAGGGACTGTGAGGAGTGGAAAAGTGAAACGTGAACCAACACACAAAGGCCATACACTTTATAAATAAGCACCCATGTTCTGTATCAAGAACAGACCACAGGAGTGGGCACCCCACCCTGTGCAAGGCTCCACTAGTACACAGGTTAAGGCGCAATGCATACCTGGAGCCCACAGCTCCTGGGCAGGCCCCTAGAGAACACAAGGTAGCTACCACTGGATGGATGAAGGAATGGAGATATCAGTTCTTGGAAGCCACCAACATGAACTTTTCAGGTACAGTGAAAGACAAGTTGGGCTGGCATCTACCACCAGACAGCAAGCCCCTGTCCGCCACAAAACACTACCTCCCTTGGTGCCCACAGCCTCTGCCCAGCCCCCTGGGGACCCGTAGCTGCAGAGCACTTGCCAGGGTGTGGTCCCAGGTAGAGTGACCTAAAAGGTCCAGGAGCAAGCAGGCTGGAGAGCCAGCTGGGGGGCAGGTGGCCACCTATCTCAGCTTTCCTAGACCCAGCCTCCAGGCATACGGTGACCATGATTCTCCCACTGGTCCTTCCATCTCTGGGAAGTCAGTGGCCAGACCTGGGGGGGGCGGGGGGGCCCGGCCCACACCAGAGCTGTATTACAGCAGGATCCTCAATGACCAGGTAGGCAGGTATGTGGGAGACCTCCCTTCCACCACCAGGAGTATTTTGGCAGTTACCAGTCCTCTCAATCTCAGTTCCCTGCCTGATACCGAACCCCGCCTCCTCTAAGTAGAGTACAGGCTGCCTGCTTTTTCCCCTCATCCTAGTACTGAGAGGCAGACAGCCAGGTTTTCCTCCAGACCCCTCCCGCCTCACACGTGGGCAGGGCCGGTCTCCACCCTCTCCCCTCACGTGTGCTGCAGCGGCGGAAAGAGCTTCCATTGAGCTCCAAAACCTCCTTCGCAGGTCCCTGGAGTCGGAGCCCGCGGAGGGAGTGGAGAGGGCAGAGGAAGCAAGGAAGCCCCCCAGCACCATCACCAGGGAGCAGGAGGCCTACGTGGGGTTCCATCTCCAGATTCACCAAAATCAGCCTCTGCACAGTGCCGGACCGCTCGGGAAGGCCCTGTCCTCCCATCCTGGTCCCTCACCACCTGTTCTGGGCAGGGGCTGAGGTGCACCCACACCGGTCTGGAACGTTCTGAACTCAGGATCGCCGACCCTGAGCTCGAGACCGGGGCCCCCGCGGCCCCGCCCCGCCTTGCACACCCCCCAGGGCAGCGTGCTCATTCCTGCCACCGCGCCCGGCCCGGGGTCCGGAGCAGCCCGGCCGGCAGCACAGACAATAGCTTCCTTGGGCCGGCGGCTCTGGAACAAAAGCGGGTCTTCCCGGGAAGGCCGGCGCCCCGCCCTCCGCCGCCGCCGGGGTCCCGGGACGGCGCCCCCGCCCCCCGCTAGGGGCAAGTTCCCTCCAACCTGTCTGAGTTCGGCCGGCATCGGACCGGGACTCGGGGGCTGCGGGGCCGGCGGGGGCAGCGACGCTAGACCCGGTTCGGCTCCGGCGCCTTGGCCGCTCAGGCTCGGCGGACTCGCTCCCCGCGGGGGTGGATCTGGCGGCGGTCACGGCTAGCAGCCAATCGGGCGGGGCCGCGCCCAGGCGGGGCGGGGCGGGGACCGCTGGGGCGGGGTGAGGTCCCGCCCCCCACTGACGGGGGCGGGGTTCTGCAGCCAGGCCTGGTGGGTCATGCCCCACCCCTATCTCATGTCCCGCGCAGCTAGTATGGGCTCCTCGCCGCTGCCCAGAGGGTGGCATTTTCCTATTAAGCACTTCAGTCAAGTCCTTCCCAGGCTTCACTTTGCCCCCAATAAATGTACATACACACCCCACCACCTGTACAGTTGTGGAAACTGAGCTGCCCCAGAGCGGGGGCCAGTGTCCTACACAAGACACAAGGCCACCCTCACCAGCACAAGATGCTCAAACTGTCTGCGACTCAGTTTCTCTCTGCTGTGAAATGGGAGCCAATGATAGTTATATCGTTGTTAGTCCAGCAAGGTCTCTTAGTCCCCCACTTAGCATGGGCTTCCAGGGAAGGGTCCCCATAGAACTCAATGGGGACCGGATGAGTGGCCCTGCAGGGACCCAGATTGGGGTAGAAGGGCATCAGAGAGGACCAAGCACTAGAGCAGAGGGACAATTCTTGGGTCACCCTGTGGGTGAAGCAATTTCTCTGGTGGCAGGCTCTGGCTGAAAGTCCTTGGCGCAGAGCTGGTTTCACAACCCGCCCCTCCATGCCTTTGAGTGCAGGGAAGTGGAGGCTGGGTTGGAGGGTCAGGATTACCAATCAGGGCTTCTCCTACCAAGATATGCCTCTCAACAGCTACCCCTGGGGGTATGATTCTGCGGGGGAACTTGAGGTAGAGAGGAGGGGATGTGGCCCCACAAATGCAAGCCAGTGGCTCCTCCATTACAAATGAGGAAATAGGTCCCAAAACAAGCAAAGCTGGGGCTAGCACATGGAGACTCCTTGCGTACCACAAGCAAAAGAGCACAGGCCTGGGCCTCCTGCCTCCTGCCTCCCTCCACCCTGCTTCTCCCAGTTTCTTTTCTGAAAGCTAAGCCTGCCCTGATATCATGCCCTGTATCCAGGATATGTCATGTACGGGAGCTAGAGCGTGCTCAGTCACTCTGGGTGCCCCTTGTATGTCTTGCCTAGCCTCATTTTCCTCACCTGGACTGTAAGCTCCTGCATCTTCCACTCATGGCTACCCAGCCCAGTGAGTATGACATAGTGCCTTGAGGGAATGCAGCCTAGATCTTATGTTGAAGTTGGTTCTTCCTAATGTCACCAACTCCTAGTGCCTGGGCCACATAGCTACCATGGTTGAGCCTGAGGCAAGTCCAATGGCCCAGCTGGCCAGACCCCAATGGTGCCTTCTCCACTAGGTGAGGGTCAGCACTGCTCCTGCTGGGCGTCTAGGGACACTTCCTGCTTCAGGATAAAGGCAGACAGCACCATGGAGCAGCCCAGGGGGTTCAGCAGCCATAACCCCCAACCCTGGCTCCCTAGCCTCGGCCACCAGCTACCTGCCTCACCACCACCCAAACTCTCAAATCCCAGTTCTCACCCTGTGGCTCAGAGGTAGGTCACCAAACACCTTCTGCTGAGATTACTCTGAGAAGATTTGGCATGGAGGTAGCTGGGCCTGGCCTGCCCAAGTCTCCCGTAGTGTCCCCATCAGCCTGGCCAATCCAGCTCCAGCCCTGGGAATGCATACTCTTTCCAATCCCAGCCTGAGAAAATCAAGGGTGGGGTGGGGTGGTGGGTGGAGTGGGGCCATGACCTGAGGTGTACAGCCTCAGCTCCCAGGAGGTCAGGGCAACTCCAGACTGTGGGAACATCTTCCTGCCAGGGCATCGACCCTCAGGGTGCCCTCTGTCCTCCCACACTGCTTGTCCATGGGATGAAGAACTGCATGCTCCAGCCTGGGAGGGTTGGACTGAGTGCCTGAGGGGCAGCCTCAATATCACTGGCTGCCATTGTCCCCATGTGGCCCATACTTCCCCCTGGAATTTAAGAGTGCAGGCCTCACCGTTTGGAATAGTTAGGACCAGGGAGTCACACCCAGACCTACTTCCTTCAGTCCTGGGCTCCAGTAGCTGGCTATGCCACCTGTAAAGCCCACTGAGCACCAGAGGCTTGGAAAAAGAGCTCTCCAGTGGGTCTGTGGTCTCCTGGAGACATTATCCAGGCTCTGACAGTGTAACTGTGCTCAGTGTGCATTCTATGTGAGTGGACCTCCAAAGTGGATACAGGACCCATCATCCGCCCACTGTCAAAGATAGGCTCAGGGAGCAGTCATTTGCCCCAGGTCCCCCATCCTGATACAAGCAGCTTAGTTCTGAGCCCCACACACCCTGGCTAAGCAAGGCTAGCTCACTGGATCAGCTGCAGCAGACACCAGCACCTTACTCCCTTTCTCTCCAGCCACAATGGACCAGGCTTCTCAAGCCACCAGCACATGTATGTTAGGTGTGATTCCCAGTAAGACCCGAGAAGGGTAGGGTGTGGCAGGCACTGGGAATGAACTGGAGGATGGGGAATTGGACAGCTGCCAGGTTTAGGAGTGCAGAGAGCTGAGGATCCTACTGGGTAGGCACTCCACAGTCACTCTGTGAAAAGCCCGGAGGATACCACAGGTCAAGCCTCTGTTCTGGGTTGAAGAGGGGCCCTCCTCTTTCTCTCTGGTGGCTAGGACAGCTTGGCCCTAACTCCTCTCTGCCCAAGTTTCAGTCAGTAACAGTAACCAAAATCATCAGAGATCCTCAGGCCCCCTGTATTTCCTCATTCTGCCTTCACCACCCACCTAGGAGGGGTTGTCAGGACAGATCCAGGCAGTCTGACTCCATAGTGTGTATCCCAATTTTAGAGTTCTCAGGGCCCAGCTGTAGGATAAAGTTTCACACCTGGGGTCAAGGAGGAACTGGAGTGCAGTATGAGGGTAGTGGCCAGTGAGCTGTCGTCCGACCCTGGGGCCTTGCTGGAGGCTTCCCCTGGAACTGACCCATCAATGTGTGCAAAGAAAAAAAATACTGTGGCAGGGAGATCCCAGGGTAGGCAAAACCCTCAGTGTTATCAGGCTATTCAGGAGCCACCCAGAACAGACCCTGCCTAGCTGCCTGGGCACTGAAGGCTCAATCAGTGGAGGGTGCTGACCTAAGGGTCAGACTGTGTCCTGCTCACTCTTCATTATGTGGGCTGGCAGCAAAGCTCAAATGGTAGAGCGCCCCAGTACTGCCAAAAACAAACAACAAAACCCCCAGTACCCCATTTTTCATTATGGTGCCCATAACATCCAAGTGGACTTGTAGCCCTCATGGGATTCCATTTTCCTTTCCTCCCAGAAGCCTCAGCAAATCTTGCAATAAGCTATTACACGCTAGCTTATAGTCCATTAGGACCCCTTACTTTCCCACTTGGTTGTTTTTACCCTCCAGGAATCAATGGACTATTACCTGCAGGACCAGCTGTTGCCAGGCCATCGGCAGGGGCTGCCCACTGCCCACCACGCCACCACTGCCCACATCAGGCTGCTGGGCACGCTCCAGCTGCAGGGCAACATGGCGCCGCTCCTGCTCCAATGCCCGTGTCAGCCGCTCGAAGCGGGCCTCCTGTTCCTTCACCGAGGCCAGGATGCTGGCGGCTGAGTGCATGTTGCAGTCCTCCATGACCAGGGTGCTGGCCAGCTGCAGGCAAAGCAGAGCAAGCTCAGGGTGAGGTGGAGCAGCCGCCTGGTGAGGCCATCACAGGCCCCACTCACAGATTATACGACTCACTCCCAGAACAGAGCATCCAGCTCTCTGGAGGAAAGCTGCATTGATTAAATTCTAAATTAAAAGCCATCAATCTGAGGCTGGCCGGAAGCAGTCAGCTCCCTCCCTGTGTGACTTGGGGCTCTGACCCAGGCTCCTCCACTTCCTGCCAAGCCCAGCAGAGACATGGACTGTGGACATCTCAGCTTGCTGGGAAGGGCAAGAAGTGCTGGTGTAAGTGCTTACTATCTTGCAGCCTTCTGCTGCCATGGCTCACGTCAGCTGATCCCAGTCTCCTAGGCCCAGCCCAGCCCCATCTCACAGGGGCAGACACTAAGACTCAAAGAGGGTGAGGGACCACCCATGGCCACACAGCTGGTGTGGCAGAGCTGGTGCAGCCAGCAGGTGAGGAGAAGCTACTTCACTGCCAGCAGATCCTAGGAACACCTAGGCATCTGTGGGATGGGGGCACTATCTCAGAGCTCCCAGCAACAGTGGCCTGTAGACCAGTGATCTAGAATCTACTCATAGTCAACCTATCCCAGAACAGGGGTAGGGTCTGCTTCACAGGGCCAAGTAAAAGCCTGGATGAGGTTATGCCAGGGGCTCCATGAAGTCTGGAGTCCCTGTACCCACAAGTGGCCTGGGTATGAGAAGCCTAATCCAGAAACGGCAAGCCCAAGCATCTGATCCCAGAGCTCAGGGAGGGTCAGGTCTGCCCAGACCCTGGCCTAGTGTCTGACCCCAGAGTCCCAGGGGAGCAGGAGGGATGGTGGGGACTTGGCATCTGCAGTGACAAGCCAGCACTTTTCCTCACCACTCAGTGTGTTTGTTTTTCATGGGTAACAAGAAGCAGGCCAAGTATGCAGAGCTCAGACCCAGGCGTACAGCCATGGGTGGGGTGCAGCCATGCAGCCACAGTGCTCAGAGCTTGGCATGTGGCTTGATGCCTAGAGCTGCTCAGGGCCTGCTCCTGGCTGGTCCCACACCAGTCCAAGTCCAATCCTGCTGGACCCCTCACCCCTGCAGATAAGCCTGAACTTAGTGAAGGGAAGCCCCATGTAGGAATGTCACACATGGTGGATGACACCAGCTCTGCTACTCACCGGCCTGGGCAGCCAGCAGCACGGACAAAGTCCCTGGAGAAG